AAAATTTAACACCTGATATAGTAATAATAAATTCATAGATAGTCAATATAAGCTTTATGAATATGTCTATATAAAATATATATAATACTATCTTTTTATAAAATATTAATCTTTTGAAATAAAAAATAAAACTGCTTGACCCAAATGTTTATATAGTAAATTGTCATTAATTATCCTGTATAATTTAATAAAATTGTTATTTGTATAGTAGTTAATTGATTTTTTATAATATACTAGATAGATGAGAAGTTCGTAAACAGGATCTTTTTGCTATTTTCGCTAATATTAAAAGTTGCTTATAAATTTAAATACCCAGGTGTGTAAAAAGCTCTTAAACAGAACCTTTGTTAATCACTAAATAACATATTGTAAATATAATACCGTATACATAGATTTATAAAAATTTTTAATATTAGTGGAGATAGCAAAAAATTCTGTTTAGAAACTTTTCACCCACTCAGTATAATCAAAATTATCTAAACTGTAATATATTGATTCAAGAGTAAGAATAGTAAACAAATATAGAAATTAAGTAAGAAATAAGTCAACTAAAAAAAAAATATATATAATAGGATAGTTTCAAGTTTGTATTCAGATCTTTTGATTATCACAGCAAGTCTAGCTAAAAAGTTAATGACCTCTAAGTTGCGTAGCTTTTTGTTTTAAAAACAGTATATTTAATAAAATTCGGTTACTTAATAAAAAAAATCTTTTCTTGTAATAAGTTCAATTTGCTATTTTACCACACCAACATTATCATAATGTAAGTTCATTATTAATACTATTGTTATCTTTGTTAACACTATTATTATCTTTTAAACAATATAAAAATCTATCATATGACTAAATTTTGCTAGTATGTACCTATGAAATAAAGTTATTTTATTAGCAAATCAAAAATTCTGATGTTATTATGATGTAAAGACATCTTTGATTAACCAAATTTATTTTATAAAACTAAACAAGATTAAATATTATGTGAAGAATTAAAGATTTTTTCTTATAATCTTTAATATTAAATTTTGATCTGAAAATCTTGATTAGAGATCATCAGAAGATCACCTGCACTATGTTTGTAATTAGACTGATGTTATACACCCCAGTATAATATATACCAATAAAAATGGATTAGTCAATTAAATTGCTTCATTTGCAATTCTGAAGTTTCCTTTAAAATAATTCTGAATAATACTATGCTATACCATATTATACAATATTACAGTCAGAAAATATACCAAATTAGATCATCTGATTCTAGAATGATCTACATATTGATTTTCACATTTGATTGGTTCTTGCGCACGTTTTTGCAACCATTTCTCAAAATTTTTTATTTGTTTAATTCATTATTACAAACTCACAAATAGATACATAAGTAGGTTGTAGAAGACGTTTAGCTTAAATAATCCACAATAATCCACTCCGTTTTACCTTTGCTAAAAAAGTAGATGAAAGCCAAAATCTGAAGTTCTGTTTTGTATATAGACGCTTAATCTTACTAAAATTGTGTTCAGTAAACTGCTTTTATTTCACTGTGTTCATGCTTAATACTACAGTACAGAACTATAAAGCATTTATTAAAACAAACTTTTTCTACTACAGTAGATAAAGCCTGGAATTTACTTAATATACGAAAGATCAAAAGTTTAATCTGCATTGAGTTGTTAATAATCATAAAATTATTTGAATGCTATCAAGGGAGAATGAGACTTTGGGTTCAATTTTATTATTTATTATTTATTGGATTTAGTCTTATATAATCAGATTTTTTATGAACTAGATTTGATAATTGATAAATAATAAACTTGAAACTCGAAGTCTTATTTGCTCTTGGCAGCTTAGTTTTATTAGTTTATCATCCGTGCTGATTTGGTTGATAAACAATCTTTTATTCAAGTCGATTCAGGTATAATTATTTATTAATCAATGGCTATAGCATTATATTTAGTTTTGGTTTGGGAATCAGCGTTTCTATTTAATTTGAGTTTATAACCATCAAAATATATCCCATTTTATAAACAGTGTTAAACTCAAAAGATTGAATTTAAATTGGATCAAACGGATTTATTATTAGATAATATTAGGAATGGGGTGCACCGAAGAGTATAGTTTAATGGTAAGCGATGTGATACATCTAATTCATATCTGATTAGATGATCCATCCTTACGATTTTATCTTGAGTTTTTATATGTAACATATAAGCTTAAATGCAATAAAAAATGCATTGGACGTTGTATAATTAAGAAACATAATTCTATAATATGTATTATAAATCGAGATATGTATTAGCTTATAAAATGGATACATTCTAAACAATAAAATGCATTGACTATTAGGTAAATTTTTTTTTAAAAAAAAAAATTTATTTTTTTTCGTTATCATTATTGTGCTTCGAATCCGAATTCTAGAATCATCTGACTGAAGATCATCACCAAATTAGGTGTGATCGTCAATAACCATATTCGGTATATTCCCTGACTGTATTATACCTGGTATCATACTACCTTTCTTTATATTATACGTTGATGATAAGTCAACAATTCGAAAAACCAACTAAGCGCCAAACCACCCAAACTAACAGACAGATCACGTGAACCCACTAACCACTAGACCAAGCCACATACGATATGTTACCATGTGCCACTAGCTCAGACTATAAATATGTCACCCTTACATGCATCAACTCTAACCCAGAAAGTTTTAATGTTAAGATTTTTCTACAATAATAAAAAATAGCCGTGGCGACAATGGACAAGTCTGCAGCTTCAACAAACCAAAGCACTCCTGCTGCCAAAAACACAAATCCTAGCCTTAGTTTACCCAATATTGATTCAAACACAAAGGCGTACATTGAGGCCGCATGCCAAGCTTCGTCAAACATGATCATTAGTACTATTAAGGAATATATCGACCAAACATTGGATGCTCACATGGTCTTGATTAATAAGCTCAATACACGTATTGACTCTTCTCTCAACCAGCAAAAGCAAAGCCCACAGCTAACCCACCCTACTCAGAACCCGCAGGACACCGCTGCGACACATAATCATACGTTTAATTTGTCCAGCCCTCAACAAACTAACAGGCCCAATGATAACAGCAACACACAACAAGGTAATTGTCCACTAACCCCCCTGTTAAACAATCTCTTGATTGATGCCAGCAACTCCAGCCAGTACAATGAGAGAGATATAACAACCCAAGCAACACCCCATACTAATAAAGCAATAAAGATCAAAACTACAATGCGGAAGTTCCCTTCTTTTGAATACACAGAGGACTTACCTCCTGTTGACGGCTTTGGTAAACCAATTGCAGCCTATACAGAAAGAATTCGGCTGTGGTGGGTTTTAAATTGGTCCGACAGACAAAAAAGAATTGAGACAATGCCCCACAAACCAAATCTACCATCAAGTCTATGGAAAGCTATCACTCTGAGTTCTTACGTTGATCTCAACGAATTTACCTAAAGAAATCTAAAATCATACCTAAAGAACAACGAAGAAGAGCAATCTTTGTTATCAGCTGATGGGAGTGCTATCGTAATATGCAAACGCAACCGACATCAAAGATTCAATGACATCGCAGAATGGCTTTTAGCATTCAGTTCCTATATGGATGCTGTGTTAGTAATATATGACGTAAGAGAAAAGGAACTAAATGAATACCGTAACCATATAAGTGCTCTCTGCATAAAACAAGAGTTCGCAGCGGTTTTCACCTATGATGAGGATCGAAGACTGCATCTCACGACAAATCGAGATACGACGCTACTAGACCGAAACCTGGAGGCTGAAGGAGAAAACTTCGACGTGACTACCACGAAGAAACCACGAGGGCACTATACTCCATGACCTCTGAAGCCTGATCTAGCCTGGTATGATGGTCGCCAGATATGCATAAACTGGAACAAGAAAACCTGTCCTGAAGAGGCCAATTGCCATCGTGTTCATGCATGTTTGGTGTGTAGAAAGCTTGGACACCCAGAGCGGAGGTGCTTCTACAACAAACATCTCAATACCAAACAACCAGATACTACAGCTCCCCACCCACCCAAGAACTAGCAGATAGCAATCTATAAATTCAAAAAAAAAAAATAAACTACAGCAATATACAACAAAAAAAAAAAAAAAACAATCATAATAATAATAGTAATAATAATTCTCAGTCAAACAAAATTGTATTCATAAGGACGTTTTTCTCGAGCACACAGATATATATATACAAAGTTCCACCAACAAAAAAAAAAAAGGGGGGGAGAGAGAGCAAACTTAACAATGTTAGAGTGTTTAAAGACGTACCTGGATACACACATACATGCTAAAGAAAACAGTTATACATACACAGCACACCATCGATATAGATAAAAAAATAAAAAAATAAAAAAAAAAGAAAGTAAAAGAGAAATAATAACAATGATACATATAGTAATAAAAACAACAAAGATATGTATACATACGTATATACATACATAGTTACATATAAACATAGAAAACAAAGACATAATAAATTCAGACACATGCAAACAATCGAACAAAGGCAAACATATATTCAATGCAGATCGTCATCTACAGCATCGATTCACAATTAACAATAATCATCCCAATGCCTACTCTTATAGGATTACCTAAAGCACAATTTAAGCACCCAATCAGGCACTCTGCACAGTTTAAGCTTTCACGAACAATCACAACAGACGAGCATCCATCACTACAGTCAGTAAATGAAACCCTGACGGCCAAACCTCCCCAAGACATCCCACTGACACAGACAGAGACAGAGTTACTAGCACAGTTAGATCCACAACATTTTAACGTACGAACACCAATCAACGTATTAGCTTTCCAGCAGCTCACAAAGTCTCACCCAAACTGACCTTTTATTGACTACCTGACAAACGGCATAAAGAATGGCTTCAGATTCAACTACAGAGGCCCCCGGCAAAAAATAATACAGGAAAATCTTCAATTGATCAGCAGTGACCCACAAGCATTCCTTACATATATAAAAAATGAACTGGCAAATGGGCGCATTTGCAGGCCCTTTGATAACAAAAACCCCCCTGCGACCTTTTTCAGGTGAACCCATGTGGCTTGTGGAAAAAAAGGACACAAACCCCAAAGCATACTGGGTTATATCTCACCTCTCATCCCCTCCAGAAAACAGCGTAAACAACAGAATCGATAAACTAGAGTTCACGACAAAATACGAAACAGTGACTCACGCAATCCGATAGATAAATCATTTGGGAAAGGGCTGTACACTAGCAAAAATAGACATCAAAGATGCATATCGCATTCTCCCCGTACACCCTATAGATCAGATATTGCAAGGCATTCGGCTTGGGAATGAACTGTATTTTGATAAGGTCCTTGCTTTTGGGAACCGTGCCTCTGGCAGCATATTCTGCCGTTTTGCTGACACCATCACTTGGATCGCTACACAATTGGGAATTTCGGCTATAATCCACTACGTGGATGACTTTCTCATCATCACACCTTCAGATGGCTCCCGAGAGCTAAGCCAGTTTATACGTATACTTGACACTATTAACATACCATACAAGGATACTAAGTTGGAAGGACCCAGTACAACTGTCACCTTTCTAGGTATAACGCTAGACACGGTTGCAAGAACGGCCTCTATACCAGTCCAGAAACAAGATAAGCTAACACTGTTATTAAATCAGTGGCTATCCAAAAAATGGTGCTTCTAGAAGGAACTCCAATCACTAGTAGGCTCCCTCGTTTGGGCATGCCAAGTAGTCCCACAAGGACGACCCTTCGTACAACGCTTAATTAGGGCCCAGGACCTGCCCACCAACCCCAAATACCACATAAGAATGACGGGGCCCATGAAATCGGATATACAATGGTGGATAACCACGTTACAATCATGGCCAGGCATCCAACTATTTCAAGACCACGATTGGCACCAACCTCACACCTGCAATTTATACACAGACGCCTCAAACATAGGCGGCGGAGCTATATATGATGGCTATTTTACGGCCTTTAATTGGGACAAATCGATAGACCTCACACGAATAGGCATCCAAGTGCGGGAGCTCTTAACTACCCTGATTGCAGTACGCACATTCGCGCCAATGTGGGAAAGGAAAAAACTGATCATATGGACAGATAACTTAGCCAACGCTGAAGTATATTACTCAGGGTATTGCAAAAACCCAGACGTTAATGAGATAATCACCGAAATGTATAAAGTTCAAGTATTCGGGAGTTTTGCCATAAAGCTAGAACATATTCCAGGATCAAAGAACATCGACACTGACCTACTCTCTCGTAACGGACATAGAGAGTTTATTTTTAACAACCCTTTATCCCGCTATCTTCAACCAAATGTTCCTGTAACATTCTCCAACCTAATTTCTCTCATCCCCTCTCTCAAACAATAGACATTGCCAATATGGCACCCTCCGAAACAGTTTCCCCATTCATCAGCAATTTCAAAATGATTCCATTCAACAACCATACTACTTTAGACAAGGCTGCCGCCTCTATACTTAGCGTTTCAGCTCCCGTCAAAAGGTCATACGAGTCAGTTATCAAGAGATATGAGTTATTGGCCATTGAGAACAATTGGCTCAATCAGGACAAATCTACGTGGCCCGTAGCAAGAGAATCTCTCATCAAATATATCACGTTCTTACACAAAAAAGTATCCCCACCAACAATTTTAACCTACCTATCAGCCTTAAAGTTTCACCATACAAGGAACCACTATGACTGGACACATGTACGAACCGATCCGTTAGTAATGCAGATCCTGAAAACAATTGAAGCAACCCACATCCATACGCCAATAAAACAAAAAGCACATATTACCAGGCAACATCTCCTCCATATCAAATCAAGAATCAACATGAGTAACCCAACGGACCTCCTCTTCTGGGTAGTGGCACTTACCGCATTTTACGGCTTAGCCAGGCTAGGAGAGCTTTTACCGAACAACCAGGGTGATGAAAACAAGGTTCCAGTACTCAAAGCCCTGTCTTTCGGAACAACGGAAAGCATCACATTCGCCGTCATACAACTAGCAAGAACAAAAAATCACAAAACAGCGCACAGAACATCACTAATCATTAACCCAACCAATGACACTTTATGCCCAGTATGTACTCTTAAGGATTACATAAACCTACGATCACGACCTTCCTACGCTAAGGACTGCACACTGCTGTTTGCCAAACCCGATGGTTCTTGGGCTACAAAAACGTGGTTTATTACGAAACTGAAGTCCTTTCTCCCGAACGAAAATGTGGCAGGCCACAGTTTCCGGGCGGGCGGCACCACCGAGCTGGTAACACGTGGTGTCCAATTAGTCCTAATACAGAAAATCGGCAGATGGAACTCTGAAACGTTCTACCGATACATACGGAACCACCCAGCCACAATTGCCACCATTTTGGCAAAGGCTTACATTAATTAACCCCCCTCTCAATTATTGGAACCAAACCCGGGTTAATGAATGCTAGCCAAAAAAAAAAAAAAAAAAAAAAAAAAAAAAAAAAAAAAAAAAAAAAAAAAAAAAAAAAAAAAAAAAAAAAAAAAAA